GGGAAACAACAATGGTTCAAGAAGGAACATTAGATTTGTTTGTGGGTAGACAGGGAGATGGTTCAAGGGAGTTTTCTAAAGTTATTTTTTTCAGGCTAAACAATAGAAACTGATCATTCCTGGCTATGGGTGGTGTTCCTTCTAGGGAGCTCATAATGCAATGAGGCAATTTCAGTATTTTGGATACCAATAGAGGAATAATGACTAAAGTTGGTCTGAGGATTACTGATCTGCATATGGCAGGGGTGGGCAATAATTTTTGGTGAAGGGACACTCCAAGATTTTGGAAACGGCTGCACTTTTCTTTGGAGGAGGTACAGGGTCTAGGATGGAGGCTGGGCACAGAAAGCTGCATAGGGTGAGGGACTGGGATGCAGGAGATGGTGTGATGTCTGAGAGGGAGTTTGGGTGAAGGAGGGGGTTGTCACCTGGGTCAGGGGAATGAAAAACCCATAGCCCCTGAGCACCATAGTTAAGCTGACCCTGGTCTATACTACAAAATTACTTCAGTATTGCTATGTCGCTCAGGGGAGTGAATAACTCACTCACCTTAGCCAAGCCATTACACCATCCTAAGTGCTGCTGCGGACAACCCTGTGTCCACAGGAGGGCTTTTCCCGTCACCATGGCTACTGCCTCTTGCAGAGATGGAGAAACTACACCCACAGGAGAACTTCCCAGGAGGAATTCTCCTGTCAGCATCTTCTCTGAAGTGCTCCAGCCTCACAGCTGCACCGGTGCTGCGTTTTAACTGCAAACCTACCCTTAGTCCTTTCCCCGCACCGCGTAGCAATGCAGCACAGAGGAGAAACTGAAGCTCGCACAAGGCTGTGTCTGCATTACCAGTTGTGTCACCACAGGGTGTGGAAAACACCCCGGTGAGTGACACAGGCATAAGGGGTCATGTGCACAGCGCCATGTGGTCAGGAGAGCTTCTCCCCCAATGCAGCTGCCACCACTCATGGAGGCGGTTTTATTACGTTGATGCGAGAGTTCTCTCCTTTCAGCAGGGTGTCTATGCGAGTGGTCTTTCAGCAGCACAGCTGTAGTGGTACTACGATGCCACTGTCAGCTCAGAAGCGTGGGCATGATCTGAGACTCACAAATATCGTCCCTTAAATTCGTACTGTCACAGCCTGCACCTCCATTAATCTCCAGTGCTGCCCCTATCCCAAAAACCACTCAGCACCACACTGGGGCTCTGGGACTCATGGGGGGAGGACAGGTAATGGGAGAGAAGCGGTTGGGGGGCTCATGGGTAGGGCCCTACCAAATTTGTGGACATGAAAATCATGTCTCAAGACTCTGAAATCTATCAAGGGGAGGGTCAGGGCAGGGGTGTCCCATCCAGAGACTCCTGTGGGGCCCCTGTCTCTAACTGCTAGTCACCTTCTGGTTGGGGAAGGACAGGACTTATTCTTCTCCTGCACAGCGGCTTAAGGAGTCAGACCCACCTCCGGGTACCTACCCCTGCCAGAAGGAGCTGAGGGGCAGGATAGCAGCGCCAGAACTTCGTGCAGCTAGTTACTGGAGGTGGAGGTGGGCCTGGTCTCCCCTGTGCTGCTTGGAACCACCCCCCTCCTCACAACCCCTTTTTAGGTCTGAATCCCGATGGTTATACCACCCTGGAATTCTAGGTGTAAACATCTGAACACTTGAAATTGACTAATTTTAAAATTGTGTGGCTGTTAAATTGACCAGAACGTTCCCTGAATTGGTAGGGCTCCCCTCCTGGGCTGGGGACGGTGATAGGGGAGATGGAGATCAGGGGATTGAGAGTAGGGGCAGTGATAGGGGAGATGTGGGGTGGTGACAGTGATTGGGGAGATGGGGAGTCAATTGAGAGGATAGGGAAATACAGGGTGGGGCAGCGATGGGGGAAACGGGAAGCTGATAGCAGCAATGGGAGGGTCTCCTGGGGTATTCCTGGCAGTTACTGAGTGGTGTTAACAGTACTGAATGTTCACAGGTGCTGGGATTTATTGGGGGATCACCGGCGGTGTGGGGGAGTGAATCTTGTTGCTTCCTCAACAATAGAGTGTGGAGGAAGGGCTGATTTATGGGAAAGGGTGGCAGGGCAGGGGGGCCTCCCCTCACTCTGGGTTGTGTCTGACACCCCATAAATCATTGGTAGAGTTAGAACTTTCCACAGCCCCCAGATCCCAGCTGCAGGGTGGGGGGGGAGGGGGATTCAGGAGCAAAT